TGCAACTTTGACACATACTGGCAATTTAGAGGGTTGTTTAGAGAGAGAAAACGGAACTTTGGTCACAACGCTCGGATCAAGCTAGGCATCTGTTTTCTTCTTTTTTTTAAATTTTTTTTTATTTTTTATTTTTTACAATGCTTCGTGGGTATATTCACTTGTCAATTGAGCTGACATGGCCATGTTATGTGGTAAAGTCAGTCCAGGTGTGCGATCACGCCATCCGGCGGTTAGCCCTTAACCGGCTGAATGACAAAAAAAAAATGTTCATAATATTGATAGATTAAATCGTCAATTTTATAATTGAATGACTAAAATAAAAGGTCGATCAAAGTTAAATGATTAATCGAGTAATTCACCATGAAAATTATTAAGCACTAAATGACTGGCATACAAACACAATGGTCTTGTCCTCCTCCTGTCTTTCTTAGGTCCAATGTCCTTGGTTCAGCAATTGGTAAACCAAGTTCTGTAGATATTGGTGGGGTGCTAAGAAATAGATATGGGACTGTTATGTTCGTTATTTATGAAGCTAGCTGTTGGGATTGCAGATTCAAAACTTGCTGACTTGTTGGCTATGTTAGAGATGCTTTTATCATCATTGGGGCTTTGAGAATTATTCTTTGAATGTTGCGAATTGGATTAAGTTTCCACAAAGAACTCCTTTGCATTTGAAGAAATTCATCTTACATATTGAAGCTTTAGAGTTGCAGTTAGTGAATTGGCAGATTTCTCATACATACCTTGAGATATAAATGATTTTTTTGTTGATAATTTGCAATATCAGGTCTGAATAGAACCCAGGTCTCCAATTTTTGCTTAACTAATGTCGTGCCTGCATCAGATTTGGAATTTCTTTTCATGTTTATAGTTGAGTTTCATTCTGGTTTCTATTTTTGTATCATGCATATAGTAGCTTGTTCACTTGCTGCTGTGCTTCTGTTCTTGTTTTCATTCAATAAAACGACCTTAAAAAAAATTTCTCATGTCATGTGACATTTCTTCATCAATATAAGTGTTTATCTAAATGAAAATTACTATAAAATAAGGGTTTCGATATAATATCCAAATACAATTTTGATTTTTACATTAAAATTGAATTTTAATATTTTATTGCATGAATTAAAATTATGATTTTTTATTTCGTTGTAATTATACCATTCAATTTAAAAATAGATGAATACACAATGATTAGAATTATTGGAGTAAATTTTTTTTAAATATTTATCATCTAGCTCATCCAAACAAATTTAGATGAATTTTATTAAAAATTACATCAATCAACTAAAAATTTTTAACGAAATATGAGATATTCTTAACATCAAGATTTTGAATATAATAAAAGAGTTAAATACATATTTCATCCCTAAAGTTTGTAATATTGGTCATATGGTACCTACAAAATTTTTCTCACATTAGTATCAAATTTTTCAAATTATTGTCACGTTAGTACTTTTGACTAATGCTGTTAGTTAATTTTACTGACATAACATAAATATCTAATAAAATATTGACACATGTCAAAAAATTTAATTAATCCTATATCTTTATTGCCACGTATACCCATATCATCTTTAAAAGAAAATTTTAAAAAAAAAAAAATTTTAAAGAAATTCTAAAAATTTCTAAAATTTTTCTAAAAATTCTAAAATAGTTTTTTTTTTAATTTGAAAATTCCAATAAAAATAAAAAATCTAAAATTTTTTTAAAAATTCAAAAAAAATTTTAAAATTGTTTTAAAAATTATAAAAAATTCTAAAAAATATAATTTTAAAATTTTAAAATTTTTTTTAATTATTTAGATTTTTTAAAATTTTTTCTATTTTTTTAAAAATATAACGTGGATATGATATGACATTGATTATATGACGTTAAGTGGACTTTTTAGATACATATCAATATCTTATTAGATATTCATGCTACGTCAGTAAAATTAATTAACGGTATGAGTTATAGGTATCAATATGATAACAGTTTAAAATTTTAAGTACTAATATGATAAAAGAAATTAGATATTAATGTGATAAAAATTATAAAGTTCAAGAACCAAATATATATTTAACCCATAATAAAACAAAACTTTGTAATCCTAAATCTAAATTCTATGAAAAAAGTAGTGAGGCTTTCTTTTTTTTTAATAATAAAATTTAAAGGTTTATTTGAACATTATCTCAAAAAAAATTTTGAATACAATAAAAAGATAGTAATTTCTTTTAAAGAATGGAATAATTTAGGAGTTTATATGGTACATTGAAGGTTCTTTCCTTTTTATGTTGGTTGTTTGGTTTATTAGGCAAGGAGACCTTTCTGGGAGGGAAGCCCTAACCCTTTTCCGGTGGCTGGCTCACTCTAGAAAGTCATATAATATATCATAAGTGATAATAGATCCAAACATTGTCCAGTTGGAAATCATAAACAAAAAGCAATTTTTGATGAACACACCATAAAGACAAAAAGCGCAGTATATAAACTTTCTTTCCCATCACAGCATGCATCAATAGCTAGCTTTGTAAGTAATTATATAATGGTAGGCAAATTAACTAATAATTTCAAAATAAATTTATAAGAAAAGAGCTGAAGGAAATTAAGAGTAAAGGGCCTTCATTCCTTTGCATACGTCTGAAAGGGGCATTGTTTGTTGATAAATGCAACGTTACCAGATTTAGTTAGTGTGGAGAAGTTTTGGTCCTATAAGTTATCTAACATCGTGTCTGGTAGGCGAGAAAGATGAAGGAAAAAGGGTGAAATTTTCTTTCTATCATTTCTTTTATTTGGTAAGATGAAAATAAGAAAAGAAAAAAAAAAAGAGTGAAGTTGTATATTTTTTCTCTCTAAATTCAATCTCTTCAAATATAAAAAATAATCATTCAATTTAACTTAATAATTTTATTTACACTTTTAACCTTAATTTATTTTTTATTTTTATATGAAATACAACGAAGAAGAAATAATTTTTCTTTCTCTCTTTTCTTTTTCCATTTCCTCCACTTTCTTTTTTTTTCTTGCCAAATATAGCGCAAATGTTTAGCTTGGAATGGAATATGGTTCATCCCCCAAAGGCAATACTCACATCCAGATGAATCTAAAATAGTGGATACTTGTGAATGGAGAGGCAGGGGGGTAATTTCTGATATAATTTCAACCAAAAAAATATGTAGACTTTGACGAGGAAGCACAAGAGGGAAAAGAACTGAGAAAAGGAAATGAAAGTACTTAAATCTAACCAAGACTTTTGGGTTTTCTGCTATCATTATCACCCACTTCTAAATGGTACATTGATATCCGATAAGTACATTTTTTTAATAATTTTTAATAAAAAAAAGGGTGTAGAGTAAAATATCGATATTTTCATTTCAAAATAAACCACAAGCTTAGAAATGATTTATATTAAATTTAAAATTATTTATCAAAAAAATTAAAATAAAATTTAAATCTCAAATTTATAAACAAAATATCCAGATTTTAACAACTCAATCAACTTTTGTAAACTTATTTCATAGTTATAGCATCTTTGAAAGCAACTTAGGAGCAACCAAGGCTCATCTCTCTCATATCATGTGGTCCTGCTAATTCTGCCACCCTCACGCAGTGAGGGAGCTAAAGAAAAAAAAGAAGGAAAGAGAGAGAAAGTAATAGTAAATAATATAAGTGGAAACAACGGCAGGTACAAACGGAAAGAAAAATGTGCAATGGGAGTGTGTTAAAAAGACAGCGAAGAAAGCGGAGCAGATTTTATTACTGGTGGAGAGCACTATTTCCATAGGCCGAGACAGATTTAGTAGTTATGGAGTTACGGCAATTTCTTATTAGCAATTTCTGTTTGAGGGAGCAATGGCAGTACAAGCACAAGGCAAATCCTTGACTTTTCCTGTCCTTCATTTTAGTATATAAAAATATAGAGGTGCATACATCTCGAACAAAAAGCTAAGCAGATAAGCACGCATGGGAGTGGGAGAACGACGACAACATTCTCACATAGACTAGACCTGAGAAAGAGAAAGACAAAGGGTAGAAATGGGGTGTTTCTCTTTTCAGGAAAGATACCTAGATGCCTAGTCTAGGGAAGTATTGCCCTTCATGGCAGGCCTAGCAATAGTTTTGGCCTTTGAGGGTCACATAATTGTGCTTCTAAATTTCCACGGAGTTACCACTTACCATTAGTCACGTGTACAATTTATTTTCTCCCTTTTTCGTCTTAAATAATTATCTTTTATTAAATTTTTTTATCAAACTAATTTCATTTTGATTATTATTTAAAATTTATGAATTTTTAGTTTAAAATTTCTAAAATATTTTTAAAAATTTTAATGAATATGATATTTAAAAAATAAAAGTCAAATTTTAGTTAATTTGATAAAAAAATAATAAAGAATAATTATTTTAAAATGAAAAGAATATTCTTTGATGTACTATCACTAAATCACAATACTGCACTTTATAAAAAAATTAATTTTAAAATTTTAAAAAATAAATACAATTAATCTCTAAAATATATTTAAAATTAATTTTTAATGAAATATTATTATATGATTTATTAATAATATATAATATTTATATTCTAATAGTATATTAAATATAAATAATTTTATATAAAATATATATTTGATATATTATTAATGTATAAAATAAATTATATATGATATTTCATAAAAAATTAATTTTAAAAAATAAATACACTTCATCCTTGAATATATTTAAAATTAATATTTAAATTTATTAATAATATATAATATTTATATACATATTAAATATAAATCTTTTTATATTTATTGTTTTTACTCGGTGTGTTATTGTTAATCTTGCCATAACAAGTCACAGCAAAGCAAACTGAATCGAACCAATATCTTAAACCGCAAAAACAAAATTAGTAAACGCTTTGTGGAAAGATTTTATGAATGGAGAGAGACCATGCAAATGCAAGCTCTACTTTTGATAGCTAGGTTGATTTGGGAAGAAAAAGTAGGAAGATAAAATGAATCAAGCTCCCACCTGCTACCACGTGAAGGGGCACAATACCAAGTGTCTTCTATCCAATCAATTCCCACGATATCGCCGCCTTGCCCTCTTTCTTTCGTTTTCATGGGTCCAATCCAAGCACTCTCTCAAACAAATAGAAATAATAACACTAATAACAAAAAGATTAAGAAAAAGATAGGTCTTTTGTCTCCAATAAATTCCCCTTCGTTGGTGTTCTTCAGCTGCTCACAAGTTTTATTCAATTTCTCTCTCTTCCTACAGAGATACCTCCCGTAGACAGAGAGTACATCGGCTCTGCTGCCTTTCTCAAGCTGTACCGCTTGCTCCAGAAGGTTAAATACACAGGCCCTCTCTCTCGCCCTTTCTAAGACAAAAACTCAGATTGGCGGCCTTTTCAAATACTAGCTAGCTAGCTCTAAGGGGGAAAATAAAAGGAAAGAAATTAAAACACACATGGGGTGGTTTAATTTCTCCTAACACTGATTTTTGCTTGCAGAGATGGAATTGATGATCAGAATCATGGAAGCGTTGCAGCTGTTTTCAAACGAATCACCTTAGACTTTAGAGGAAACCGGTGTTGTCATTCTCAAGATCATAGTCCCACAATCTAGCTCCTGAGGCTAGGGTTGTTCACTGCAATACTATAAAAGCTCTCAAATGTTTCCTTCAAACAGCAATGGCAACAATGATCCAGCCGCTTATATTGACCAATCAATTCTCCATAGACATTTTTCCACTGACATCATCCCAATCCCATACTCCAAACAGGAAGACCTTCCTCTTTCCTTTTTTCATTTCCCCTCTCCCTATTATAATCAATTAGAGTTAAAACTCGAAGACCTTGATGTTTTCCTCCAGCAACACCATGATCTGTTACTTCATCAGCATACCTTGATGACTGATAATTCAGTTTCGGAGACTATCATTAACATTCCTGATTCCAGCAAGAGCGAGAAGTCAACCATACACTGCACCAAAACAAGCCATAATGCCACTGATCAACAGGTACCGCGAAAGAGATCATCTTCCAAGAGGGATCGGCACAGCAAGATTAGTACAGCTAACGGACCAAGAGATAGGAGAATGAGGCTGTCTCTTGATGTTGCTCGAGACTTCTTTGGTCTGCAAGACATGCTAGGCTATGATAAAGCCAGTAGAACTGTTGAATGGTTACTCATACAGGCCAAGCCAGAAATCAAGAAGGTAGCTAGAAGGCAGCTTTCCCAGGTGAATCAGAGCTTCAGCGTTGCAGCTGCAAAGAGTCCATCTTCAACTTCAGAGGGTGAGGTGGTATCTGGAATTGACAAGACTGCTATCGGAGGAAGCATCTCTAAGGGGAAACCTTTAACAAAAGAGAAAAAGGTTAGGCAGCCACGTAAAACCACTTGCCGCCCTTTTGCAAGGGATTTGAGGGAAAAGGCCAGGGCAAGGGCGAAGGCGAGGACAACAGCAAAGATCATGTGGACTCTTGATGAATCAAAGATATGTGATGACACCAGAAACAGTGATCTGAATGAATTCAGTTCTTGGAGTTCCTTTGAAACTGGGGAAGAATCTGGTATTCAAGATCATAACAGGAACAATCCTTCCTTGCAGGCTGCTGTAGCTGAGGTTAAAGAGCTTAGCTCGCGCGATCCTGAGCACATAAGGATTCATGGGGATATGGTTGATGAAGCTGTGGCAATAATGAATACGTGGAGCCCAAATTCGATTTTCAATTGTCTACAAAACGCTGGAATTAACCAAGAGGTAAGTCCCCTTAACAAAGTTCCTTGATTTATAGCCAAAAAATGTTGCTATTGATAATTCTAGACTCGAGCCTTAGAAGTTAGAACTATGATAAAAGACTCATATATCAACAAAAATGTGTTCAAGATGAAGCATCTAAATCAAATTTCTGACCAACCTGTAAATTCATTTGCAGTATCAACTCACAGGCTTTCAGTCCTTTGGCAAACCATGGGAGGCCTAGAACAATAAAAATCTGTGATAACGTGTGTTTTCTCTTACTTCTTCAGCTCTTTGATGTGTCATGTGGATAAGTATCAGTGGCATGCTATGTATTGCGTTTTTTTTTTTTTTTTTTTTTTTTTTCTGTGGAATGTAATATGGACATTTTTTTCTTTTTTTATCTGTTTGGAATTTTCTTGTGGACTCTTTTGTCAATGATTGCCGTGTGTAGCTATCATTATAATGATGTTAAGATTTCATTGTTTCTGTTCGAAGTATTTTAAATATAGTATCTTAGATTCATTGTAACCTTAATTAGAACGAGCAAGTCTACAGCTTAAAGGGTTCATAATAATTATAAAATTATTTCTTTTTCTGATAGCTAATCTTCTTTGAGTCCATATATATATATATATATATATATATATGTACCAACGAAAATAATTGCCTTTAGTTTCTTTATCTGGATTCGACTTGACATGTTTTCATGCTTTTTTTCTTCTGATCAACCAATTTATGTAAAACTTCCTGTCTCTTAAGAGTTGTTTAATATTTGCCTCATGTTTGTTTTGCTCTCTCTCTCTCTAATGGGCTCCTGAAGTAAGTTCATAAGTACATTCCAACGAAAGAATTCAGCTTAATTTTTAGGAAAAGATTGAATAGATGCATGGGTGATCCACTATCCCCTTTCAAGCAATGTTTTTCCACTTTCAAGTCATTTTTTTCAAAGTCTACGCACACCTAAGAGGAGATATTTCAACATATCAATCAAGTACTAGTTCTTGATAGCTTCTATATATACCTTAATGTGCACAAGCAAGATATTTACAGCAGAAAGTATAGGGGTTAGAGTGAGCATATATAATATAAATATTTCATATCTTGGAGTGGATATTATGAGTTAAGATAATTGGAGGCACTCAATGCCATCACTTTATGCTATGAAATAATAGAAACTGAACAGATTTGAAGACTACACAATTTAGGTGAACTTATTGATCACGGAAGCAGTCTGAAACTTTTTCTTGTTATAATCTCCCTAGCATTTTGTAGCCAATTAGTTTGATTAGCCTCTTATGATTTGCATCATAAACACTAAAACATGCTAAACTTTCTGAATTACTTTCATTAACTTATTTCCCAAAGATCCTGCAAGACAAGTACTTGTAATCATATAGGTTTAATTAATATGTAGCTATAAGTTCATATTTTCTTTTTGAAAAGATAGGATTGATCAGTGGTTACCTGTTTTCATTAGAAGCCTCTAAGCATGCTTGTCTGATACTTGTCATATGGCAGTGTTGCTTGATTGATGGCATGCTAATCATCATTAGGACAGCAATGCATCTAATATTGTAATTGAATAATGAAAAGCATAATCAGCTAATGAAGCCTCACTTAACTAATAAGCTATTATGTTTAGAAGATTGTATATTTGATGTCTACACAGGTGACAGTAGTAGTTCACAGGATATATTAAACAGCTGATGAGTTCAATAGAGGTAACAATTAGAAATTAGCTAGGTAGAGAAAGCTTCTTCATTTTTGTTATTTACATTTCAGAGTCATGGCAAATCTGGCAGTTTAGCTACATCTATATAACAACGTAGACTAGAGTACATTGCTTTCCTCCTTAAGCTAGCAAATCTGATAGTTTTCAGGAATAGATGCGGATGCCATTGAATTTAAACAGTGGAAGATTTAGCTCTCTGTTAACTTGTAGAAGAAATTTATCTGGTAAAGCAAAACACAGATTGAGTCCCAGTGTCTCAATTTTCTGGATTAAATTATCAAAAAGCATGCTGTAGGGATACCTATTCTCTAATTTGATGACCCATTTTGTGAGGAATAGAACATTTATAATTTTCTATAAATTTTATTTAGACCTCTTATATGATTAACCTAGAAGCTTTGACTGAGGAACTGGCATTTTAAGCAATAATTAGTTTATGATTTTCTATTGTTTATAGTTTAGCACAAGGTTATGCCTTCACGGGAATGATCAGAAAAAGAATACACAAAAAGAGAAGAAAACATGACAAAAGTGGGCAAACATAATTAATTGGCCTCTCCTCCTTCAAATTCATCTATTACTATTTAAACAAAATTAAGTGGAAGGTACTCAATAAGGAAGTATCATTTAACTTTTTTTAAAAAAATTTTAATCTATCATTAATCCTCGAACTTTCATCTACTTAATTCATCTGCAAAATATATCACGTGCTTAACTACTTTTGAACTTGAAACCTCTTAAGTATTTGTTCAATATACATGTTATTTGAGCTAATATTTAGTTGTTATAATTTAACTCATTAAAAGAGAAGGGTGAAGGTGAAGAAATTAAGAAAAGATAATCTTCTTACTGAATAATGAAAAAGATAATAAAAATTCTATTAAATGTTATTAGCTAGGAGTAGAAATTAAGACTATTAGAATATGGAACTTCCATTTAATTGTTGTACCTTCTCATATAAGCTGAATGCTTAAAATTTCCAATCAATGTTTTTGTTTTGAACACCTATTTGAAGAACTAAGGAAGATGACCTCTATCTGATAGGCCATCTATGTAATATTCCGGTCCTCCAGTCATGGTGGCGAACAGAAATCAAGTGGAGGTGCTGAGAAAAAAAAAAAATCAACTGTAGTTTTTATGTATTCATAAAGCTAATAGAGCATTCCATTGAATAAAGCATAGACACCATATCTTCCAAGAATAATATCGCAATGTTCTTCCTACACTGATTTGGCATGATCAGTGGTTACATTAAATAAAAGAAAAAAAAAGTCTTTGAATTCCCCTTGAAAGAGAAATGTGCTGGATCCTTTCAAAAGGGTCTGAATTGATGGCATAAACTCAAGTGGCACTCTAGTTGGAATAAAACTATCGATTATAGACAAGAATTTCCAAAAATGACTTTCGGCTAGTTCTACAGCCATTTCCTTAAAATCATCAAGTAACAAATGTATTCTGCAAGTCTGCATCTATTTATTAATATTTTACTGTTCAAAAAAAAAATCGAAGCAATAATGTCAACCCAATGTCCGGATTAATCTAGTGCGTAGCCTTATCTCAATCCTTTTCCTTTTTTATAGTGATTGCTTTTCACTAAATGAGAATTGTTTATTTCATTTATTTAATAATTTATTTTTTTGATTAAAATATACCCTATATATTTGTCACCTTTCGATTTTTATAAAATAGTTTAGGCATACTCTCTAATTTTATATATATATATATATATAATGCACAGATCTTAAAAGAGATAATTACAATAAAAAAGTAAAAGAAAAAAAAGTAACATGTCATTTTCAATCAAATTCATATAAAATGAAATTCGACAATGGTAACAATTATAACATGAAATTAAATAAATAAGAAATTCAATAATTAAAAATTGACCAATGTTAATATACTCTAGGATTTCTCATGAAGTTAATGGTTGAAATATCTTTTATTTTTGTAGATATATTTTATTGGGGGATATATCATCCATTCCAATCAAAGTATGCATTTGTGTAAGTTATGGTGGAAAACTTGAAATAAAGTTGCACCGACGCTTGATGCTTTGGTCCCGTTTACTGACTAGATGACAAATTGTTTTACTCGTTGTACGTAAGTAGGTAACATTTGATATTTGATATAAGAGGATCATCAAGATAAATCATGATAATTTATATGTTGTGATTAAATTATTATATTTAAAAAAAACTAGTAATTTTACTATGATTTAGAATCATTGAGAGAAATCATATCATTAAAAGGTGAGTTAACTTTTATTTATAAAAGTTAAAATTTTCTATTATCAAAATATAGTGATATATAAAATTAATAATAATTAATACTATTTATTTAATATGTGATTTAAAATTTTATTTTTTAAAATTATAATTATTTTATATTATAAATTTTATATTTTTTAATTAATATTTATTGTAATGAGTTAAAAACTAATTTATATTTTTTAATTTTTTATATAATATAATCTTTTTACTTTTCTTATGATTTTAATATATTAGTTTTATTTTTAATTAAGTTTTTTACCTAATTTATATTAGATAGATTAGTTTGCAAATGGGAAATATATGTTCTTAAGGGAAACTCTAATTGCCTTCTCAGATATGGTTAAATACCAAATGGAAGGAATAATTTTGCCCCGATAACAGGAAAGTTACAAGGCATTTCTATAACAAATCAATGAAAAGAGATTCCCTAGAAATACAAAGAGAGATCTCAAAAAGTTTGTCCTAAGAAGCTGAAATTAAGTACCGCATTCCTATAGCAGTAGCAGAGGGAACCCTAAATTATCCACTTTATTTTGGTTTCCAAGGTTCTACACTAACTGCATTAATACTCCAGATTTGAATTTCACTCTCTCTTTCCTTTTCCATTTTTTTCTGAAGGAAGCAGTTCAAACATGCCCGCAAAAGCAAATGCCAGTGTGTGATTTATATTATATATCCAGACCTATAGAAAATGGCCAGAAAGCTTCAATATAGTAAAGCCTAATGAAATTGTTCTGCTTAATTTAGGGATGTAAGCCCTATAAATAGCTGAGAAAATCCAAAGGGGTTGATGCACATTATGAAGTACACTTCAGAGTTTAATTTCTTCAATGAAGAAAAAAACAAATATGGAAGGATTGAGAGAGACCTGGATCCACTCGTGTGAAGTGAAGGAGAGAAAAACAGAAAAAGTGTATAAAAAGAAGAAAAAAGAAAATTAAAGAAAAAAATAGTGATTGAAAGGTAATTTGATTACACTTGTTCCATCTCTTTTAAGCACAGCAATTAAACCCCGCAAAAGCTTCTATCTATCCCTTTCAACCAAGAAATTGTTGCAGACACATTGCCCTCATTTATTGACATCAAGCTACATATAAAATATGGCTTGCAAACACCATGAAGTTAGCCCAAAGCCTCATACCACCAGATCAATTTGTAGTCGTCTAATCCAGAATTAATGATTCAGAACTATATATATATATATATATATATACGAACGTGATCAACTCTTATGCGATATATTTATTATCCATATCTCTTCACCCGAAAAGATTAGCTCAGGTTCTCTGCAATTGA